TTAAATATTAAGGTGAGTACTTGTGACCCAGGATTTTATTGATAGTACATTCAGCTAATGATTGCATTACAACCACAGGGGCAACCATAGAAAGAGTATACAACTAGCTATTCATATAACTTTAGTCATTATCTAATTTAAGTAGTCTACCTGAAGGTTCTATACTAGCTGCCATACCTGAAACCTACTTGTAAGTTTCCTATTTAACTACTCTGTTCCCATATCCACTCACTTACCTACACTTACCAAGATGCCCCAGTCAATACCGGTGCAAATATGCTATGGTCACTAAGTCTTTAAAGCAGTTTACTCATATGGGGAACCTTTGACCTTGTACTAAACCTTTCAGAATCTTCTGTATTCCATTCTTACAGCTGATCTGGTATCGCTATGGCCAAGACCAATACTGGCGATCAAGATGTACCATTTAACCACTATGCATTTGTAAAGTTTATCCCAATCTCTATACTGACTTTACAACATATTCCTATTACTTTGGTATTCAATTCAAGTTCCACCAAGCTTCCAAATCAGATAGCCTAGAAAGGCAGGTCATAACCATACATCTTTAGTTTACATGTTTGCCAGCATGTAATCTTTTTTTCCAGAACCTGAAAATTTCAGTGGCCTGATTGGTTCCATTCAGCCCCTTCTCAAAGGCCAGCTCTTTGACCAGTTTCACAAGTTCTAGCTCCATTTTATAGGTCTAGTCTTTACAGTAGCACTGTCGAAAGTTTGGGTTACCTCTCTACTCAGATCTTCTAAGTGGGCTTCCATCCTTCTACCTGGTTTCTATGATTTATATGGCCTAAGGACTTATCTTAGGTTTACACTGCTCGGTACCAGTTTGTGTTCCTTCATACAACATTGCACAAATGTCTAGACCTTCCAGTCAGGCTGGTATGACACAGATTACAGATATCCTATTCCAACCAATCATGAAAGACAGTTAGCCATAATACAGAATTGTAAATTTTCACTGTCACTAGGATTTGAACTCTAGACCTGCCACTTGGGGGTTGACAACCTATTCACTTCACTAGGTCATCACACCTTGCAGCTAATTTTCATCAATAACAAACTTTTATAAAATCATCAATAAGTATCAAGTTTTTACTAAATATACTATAATATATTTCAAAAATAACATTTTTTTTAAAAAAACAAATAATTAAACTAAAAAATGTTAAGCCTTATTTTATTTAAGAAATCCTTTTGAAAATCTTGACTATTATAAGATCATTCTAAATTGGCACACTGAAGTAATTTTAATTTTTTTTTTGTTTTGATAGTTTAGCATTCTTAAAATGTTGCTTTTCCTTCTCAATCTGTTTCTTTTCAAGTCTTTTTTGTCTTCATACATCTTGTTTTTGTGCTTTTTCTGTCTCACATACTATTTGTTTTTGGGTAGTTATTTTCTTTCAGTGCTGCTTTTCTTGGGTTTTTTTTTTATTTCCTTCTTTGCTTCTCTCAATTGCTGCAAAGACTTTTCATTCGTAAGAAGCTAGAAAAAAGATATAGTTTTCCTTTTTTTTCATCTAGGCAATTGAGATTTATCTTGTTCATTTTTCAGATCTTTAGCTGATTGTTGGTTATGATGCAAGAGATACTTAAGGATTAGATACAAAGGACTTGAGCCAGGATTTTTGTAGGTTTTAAGTTCTTCTTATAAAAACTTAATTTTTTTATTCAAAAATTCAATCTCTGACATTAATTTTTTTTTTGTAGAATTTGTTTTAATAAGGCAAGCATGATTTGAAGCTGACTTTGAAGGTGAGGATAAAGAAAGCAAAGATGAAGAAGTTGAAGACAAAGAAAACAAGGATAATAAAAGCAAGGATGAATAAGATGAGGATAAAGAAGGTAAAGATGAAGGAGATAAAGATAAAGAGCAAGTTGGTTCTTCAAGAATTTGTAGAAGATTAGTTTGTTCTGTAGTTAATAAAGGGTCAAGGTGATCCAGACTAATAGCATTTGGATTAAATAGTCATATACCTGTAGTTTTAAAGACATTGCATATTGCAGTAAATATGTAGGTTGCGATATAGACTGATTCTAGAACTTCAGTGAATGTGTATTTAGTTACAAGCTTATCATCATTTTTAATTTGAAACTTATCACACTCTTTATCATATAATTTTTTTAGAATGACAAATGGTAATTTAGCTGACTATAAAATGTAAGTTATATGTGAGAGAAGCATATAAAGAAGTATGTTGTTTTTATAATAAAAATTAATACTAGTACAATTGACATAGCTCTTATAACTATCTAGAATCAACAAAACTAAACATATAGGAAAAATAGAATTAACAAAATATTTGATATATTTCTGAAATAGACATTCTTACATATATTCTGACTTAGTAAACCCCATAACAGAACCAGCAGAAATGTTGTTTAAAAGACTTGAGATTATTCTTTTTTCTTTAAAAATAAGCAATAAAGAAATATATGTTATAACAGCTAAGATAGTTGAACATACAAAAATATATTCATGTGAGCTGTTGTATGAAATCTGATAAACTTAACATGTTCTCTTCTTGCCTAGAACCTTTTAAAACTTAGGTTCAATAATAAAACCTGTCTTATACTAAAAAGAAAAAAAATAAAATAAAAAAGAAAAAAATAAAGAAAAAAAAAATAAAAAAATAAAAAAATAAAAAAAAAATAAAAAAATATAAAAATAAATACACCATGTTCCAAATATGATCAGATGTAAGTGAGTATTTGTGAATGATCTTTTGAAGCTTGTCAAAATGATCCTTAATAATAATAAGATTAACTTTTTGTGCATGAGCTTCATTTAAGACTTATGGAACATGAAATAAAAACTCTAGATAATCTTTCATAAAACATTGTCATTATTTTTGACCTGGTTCATTTTCATTAAAAGGATGAGGCTGCCTATTTTGACTGACAATATTCATTACACACTGATTTACACCAGATCTTGTTAACCCAAAGTTGAGTTTTTGCATATTAAGACAATAATTAACAAGCTGTTTCTTCTCATAGTCTGTTAAAACCTTGATGCAACCTGGACGAGTGGGACCATCATTTTTGATGACACATCTAAGAGTGGTTTCTGGAATACCATAATTCTGCACAATACTTTTTGTACTTGGGACTTTAAAGTTGTTTGAAGAACTTTTAATTGCCTTAAGAACATTAGTAATAACATTATGTCTGATTTTTTGATTGTTATTTTTTGTTATAGTTTTTTTTTTAATTAAAAAAAATTTTTTTTTTGAGAATACAGCAATTTGTTCCTTGTTACGTAGCAGTACTAATATTCTTTATTATGTGTAGTTTATTATATTACATATGACAATACGCTTAGATTACATGTGACATTACATAAATATTTAAGGAGGACTAATAAGTTAACTATTTAAACAACGTGATTTTTTATTTGCGTGAATGGTGTTTAATAAACTGAACTTTTAAGTTTTTGTGCGTGTCATGTTTTGTACAAATACTAGTGAAATTAAAACGCGAAAGATTCAATTTTGATGGAAATCGCGACCAAATAGGATGAGGAATAATGACTAAATAGTATTTTGAAAGGTGACCCGGATCGGAACTGTATGTACCAGGTTGCTCTTTTTTCTTGCCGGACCTTTATATATAAGGAAATTTTATATATCTGATATCGATTAAATGATATTATCTCGGGATTTACTAATTGTAATCACATGATTTTGGTACCACTCGATTCATCTCATCGAGACGAATCGAATGGTGCCAAAATAATCAGTAAATCTTGAGATATCGTAAGTGCGCCGAATTAGGCATATCTACCTTATCATGAATGGCATAATGTAAAAGACAGATTCGATGTACAGTAAATTGACAATAATTAAATTTTTGTAATTTGTATCTATCGCTATTTTTTTTAAAAAAAAATATCGATTTTAATATCTGCGCAAATTTGTAATAATTAACCATATCAGGTATATAATAATTGTTATACCTCCGGCTAGGGGTTCCGAATTCCGTTTAATAAAAAGATCGTCGGAAAAAAAATCAGGTCACGTCATGTCACGATTTTGTGCACTGGTAATTTATATCATCGTGATTTAAATCACATGCCATCTCTAACTATATGAAGTTCAAAGTATAGATAGATTTTTAGCATCCCGGTTAGATACTGGTTAGATGTGTCAGAATGCGAAATTCTAATTAATCAAATAGAATTGTGTGGTTTTTTTTTATTAAAATAAAACAATATTTACAATAAAAAAATTTCAACACACAAATAAATAGTATTACTACAGTGGTAAAAAGGATTTATTATTAGCGAAGATGATTTCTTGCATTTTATAGTAATTTTACAAGTTATCTCTATTTTATTCGATGCCAAATTACTGCATCTGACTAATGGTTTATTAACGCTCTATTTATATTAACTACTTCGCATTCAATGAATTAACCCAGATAATGCAAGATATAAGTATTAGGATCACCATTAATAAATTTTAGCAGCATAATTAAATGGTAAATAGATCCTTTTATCAAGATCAACCTGTTCACTTTTTTTAGTGACTGTTTTCAGCATTTAACACATAGCTAATAAATAGTAATCAACACTCGGAAGCAGTGCTTAATTGTACGGTTTTTTTGTTTTAGTGAAGTCTTGAGTTTTAAAAGTTACTTGAGCAATTAAACATTAGTAATCGTTTACTATTGGACAATGGTCATGTAATACTGATCTATTAGTTTGCGGCTTTATGTTCGGCTTCAAGGCTCGAGCCAAGAGCCGATACTTTATTAGTGAGTCTGGAGTTGAGCGTTAATTGGCTCGGCTTAGCCGATTGGCTTGCGGCTCGGCTCAAGCCATTTGCATCACTATCTACATGTACTCTACCTGAAATTAGATCTTCATGCGTTAGGTTATAATTTTTGCCAAAAATTATAACCTAACTAGGGCCGGAATTATTTTAATGCCGGCCAAATTAAACGGTTAAACGATTAAGTAAAATTTTAGACGGTTCCAATCCTTAATTTTAGCCAGGGTGCTGCTTTAGATATATAAAGTGGCTACTTTAGATAAATCGCTACTTCAGATGCAATATATACATCAAACACAGATCTGAAGCTCATAATTCTTCAATCAGAAACAATTCTAAGGGTGGTTACTAAAATTCCAAATAGTGCATCAAAAATATCCTGAAGAAACTTTACTCCTTCAACCTCTCCAACAAGTGATTTTTTTCAAGACAAACATCACTTCATTCATATCTCCCTTGATTATTGGCGAAGCTGCATTCTTTTTGAATGTAATTTATTGGAAAACCAATCCTCCAATTGACATCACTGTATTATCACCTGACCTGAACGATTTTGATGAGTTATAAAGATAATAAAATAAAAATATAATTAAATGGTTAGAATAAAGCAAACTTATGTAGTACCTGGTGTTTTTGAAGCTGTTGCTTTAAGCTCCCGAAATCGCATATGAACAAAATATAATATGAAAAAAATACATATCGATAAATGTTTAATTGCAATTAAGATTAACCTTTACTGAAATGTGCAAATTTGCAACTTTAATACTACTTGCAATTCACTATAAAGTAACTATATGGTTACTTTATAGTTAATTGCAAGTAGCAAATTTTCGCGTTTCAGTAAGACACCAATTATTTATCGGTAGATAACTTATTTTTCACTTAAAGCTTTTTAAATGTAAATTTCAAATAAAGTATATTTATTTATTATATATTTTAAAAAAAAAATAAAGAAAAAATACAAGTATAGAATTCAAAAACTATTTAAATACCAAATTTAATAAGATTATCAAGACTTTCTTTCAAATTCTTCTCGAGATTAATTAAATAATCACGATGGTGTTTAATAGAGTCATCCTCCTTAATCAATTCATGTAACGAATTTTTATCGTCATTAGTGCAAAGTCCTATCATTTTTTCTTCAATATATTTAGTAAATTTATCAACAAAAGCGTGAATAATAGTCATGGCTATGATATCAACATAACGATTAAGGGCAATTTTAAAATAAGCCATGACCAATGCCATGATTTCTAGAGTACTTGTAGGTTCTTGATTTTGATTTTTTAAATTTTCGTGGAAAGCACTTAGATATATCGATTTTTGAGAAGCTATGGACCGATCATCAAGTGTAAATGGCTCAGATGCTTGCATTTTGTAGAAGAAATCGATGTAGTTTGTGGTTGATTCTTTGCATTCGTCTAACCATGAATTGGATATATATCTTAATATATGCATATATATATATATATATATACGTATATATCATTAATTTTCTAAACAAGAAAAACTATACAGAAACTTGAATATCTTAATACGCAGTAGCTACATAGTAACTATATAGTTACTATACAGTTATTACGCAGTTGCTGTGCATTAAGAAATCCAAGTTTCGTAAAGAATGTCAATTTATGGTAGAAACTGAATAATAATGATTAATACCTTATTTGTCCAACTAGATTTGGGAATCTTGAAAATGTATCATCAATGCTTTTATTAACCAATTTTAAAACAATCAGATAAATGGAATTTAGACAATTAATTGCTGGTGTCCTCCAATTCAAAATAGTTGTTTTAATTAAGGATTCGGCAACAGTGGATGGAATAAATCCAGGTAATAGTCTTCCGCGAGACATTTTGATCTTTTCATTAACCTGATCCTCAGATATCTTTAGTAATTCAGTAGTCCTATATTTTCCCGTAAATTTTACACGAGACAACTGGTCACTAGTGTTGTTCCAAGTATTCTTATTATTAGAGTAATTTTTTTCAATAACTTTTGTTTTAGTATACTCGTCTAGCAAGTCAATTTCAGTTTCACTAGCGCCAACAGTGAAGATCGGCCGTGATGAGTAGAGATCCTGTTTGAAAAATTCAAACTTTTGATTAATAGACTGCCATAGGTCTATTTGATTATTTGAACACATAGTTTTTGCTTTAATAATTGAGCAACATTGTTTGGACATTCTATAAATCTCCATGTTTGGATTATCACTTAATTGCTCAGGAATTTTTTCAAGTTCCTGGCGTGTCTAATAATACCAGATAATGTTTAGGATTTAAATAAATTAGAATATAAATTAGTTTGGGAAAGGATTGTTATAAATACCTCTAACAATTTTTCTTCGATCTCTTTTCTTACTGATGGTAATCCTCTTATAATAGATTGAATGAGCAAATCAGATAATTTTAGTCTTAATTTAATCACTCCTATTCTGTCTCGTAGGTGAAATTTTTTCCAGAAACCTTGTTCAAAAAACTATTACAAATAATTTAATACATAATCATTTGATATTAAAATTATTGAATAATACTGTAAATTCCACAACTTAATAATAATGTAGAAAAGCAATTTACAATTATTTCATCTTGCCTGGCATCCTCAAAAGTAATGCCATCATTGAGATGTTTTTGTGATGGATTCTTTACTACGAAATAACCCAAATCAAGTCTATGAGCTTCATTTCGCATTATTTTTAGCCATTTATCATGGGTTCCTTCTTCAATTGTATCTGGTTTGGTAAGAACTCCGAGTGTTCTTATTCCAGAAATATCAGCATTTTTGGCCAAACTAACGATTGCTTGATTGTCAATATCGTCTTTACATGAGATGGTTGCTACAATGATAGATTTGTCTTTCTGAATATATTCCTTAACTAGCTCTTCGATTAGTAGAATAAATTTTTCATCTTCTAATTTTTCAGTATATCCTATTGAATTTGACATGAAATTTAATGAAACAATATAATAATAATAATAATAAATAATAATAAATAATAATAATAATAATAATAATAATAATAATAATAATAATAATAATAATAATAATAATAATAATA